GTTACTAAATAGAAACCAAATTAGAAATGGTGCCTACATAGAAATCTTCAAAAGTGCACGCTGTTGACTGTTCCACCATATACATATCTCCTAAATCAGGCAATGCAAATTATACCCACATATTTTCGTAAAATTATACACATTTTTATTCCCATCGGTCTCAGATATTTTTCCAATCCAAACTATAACTATCTTCTCTTTTGAACAGATATTTATCAATCTCGCCTATACCCACTCCATACAAAATTGTAGAGCTTATCCCTCAACTCAATTAACTGCAAATCTTTATATCTGTCTAATCCTTTTTTAAAAGAACAAAAAAATCACCTCATCCAGAGGAGCAACCTGCTTCATTTTTTTATTAGTTCCTTAGTTATAGGAGAAATGCATTAATATTGACTGAACAAAAAGAGGAATAACCTGGGTAAAAGACGCTATGGATGATACAGAACTCCTCAACGAATGGCAGCAGATCCAATCATTCCCATCTCCTCCCACAGCCCAATCCAATGATCAACGGAACATACCTGTCATCCCCCATCAACAACCAAACTCACCCTCTTATTCATCTTCGCCTTCTTCGCATTCCCTCTCATCCCCCCCGCCGCCTGATGATTTCCGCAGTGATGACATATCGCTCAGGGAATCTCTGCGTCGAGCGGCTAACGATTTTGGGAGACATTTGAAGCTGCCTTTTAGGGTTCTTAGGTTTAGGATTCTGCAGATTGCTAAAACACTCCGTTGTTATGTGGTTTTTCGTAGGGGTTTTTGGTCATTTGCATGCGTCGCGGGAGTACTCACAGCATTATTGCTGTCCTTGCTGTATCTCAGAGTTCAGAGATGGCGGACGAGAATTCACCAGGACAATAGCAATCGTTTCGCGTTTGTGATTAAACAAAAAGACGAGGTTCATAATTTCACTCCTACTATATATATATATATATATACACTTATACGTGTATGTGTTTGAATATCTTAATCATGTTACTGTTTTCATGGAGGTAAAGTTTGAATCTGAGGAATTTCAGGGAAACCTGAGAAAGAAATGCGTACCGATTCTGTCTGTTTTATTTTAATTGTTGAAGAAGATGACCATTTGATTCATATCAAATTAGTGTTAATCGGCGCTCTAAACAAGACTTTGTTTAATTTGAAAATGCAGAAGATAAGCCAGCTGATGGTTCAAATTGCTCAACTGAATGAATTACTATCAGGACGGCGCAGAGTTCCAGTGATTCGAGTTTCTTGATTGTGGTTCTGCAAATACATCCTTCTTCACCCTGCTCAGATGATCTTCATCACGTTGATTTTCTCAAAAATCATCAACAGAAAAAGCATCCTTCTTCACCCTCCCTCTCACGCCTCTCTCGATGTTCAGGTTTATACAGACATTGATATAATGCTTATACATCTTCTGTTATACAAACATTGGGAGCAAAGTCAATAACCTTTTTTTTTCTCTGTTTTCTGTAGAAAAATAGTCTGTTCTGTAATTTTTCGAGTATTTGCAGAGTTCTCGAGAGGTACTGTAACGGTTCCAGAAATTTAAATGAAATATATGTATTAAAAATGTCAAATGCGGAAGCGAAATAAAAATTTTGGTTAACATCCCTTACACAATAACCAAAACGTACTTAAAACATGAAAAAACAAACTAATTAAAAGAGATACTCGAAATAAGAGGTATAAATATAACTACGGAGTCTTCAGGCATCCCCTTCGTCGTCTTCCTGCGGAACGGACTCGGGAACAATGTCTTCCTGATCTGAAATGGTTAAATAAGGAATGAGCTACACCAGTCCAGTAAATACATCACACTATCTCACCGCCACGGAAGTAAAGGTGGGTAGAAAATAAAAATGACCAATGGAGCATAATTTATAACAAATTCATTTATCAATAATAGAATCCTTTACTGTCCACTTATCTCGGTGATATCCATAAAAACAACATATGAAAGCAATAACATTATCATCATCATGAAATTATATAAACTTTATAACATAATACTTACCACGCATTTGCATTTCAATCATTAAACAACATATTTTCCTCTTTTACCAGCCTACTAGTATCATTGGGGATCCATAGAGGGTCTCCGCTACCCGTGAACCATTAATATTACAACTTGATTTCAGGACCGTCCCCATACCCCGTCCGGTATGGTCGCCAAAACCATGAACCTCAATACCCCGTCTGGTATGGGCGCTAAAACCATGAACCTCAATATCCCGTTTGGTATGAGGGTGAAATGGGTCGTCCCCATACCCCGTCCGGTATGAGAGACCACATTCCCGGTAGGGTTCCCTACGGACCCGGTCCGTCCACCATCTCTCAGGATATCTAGTCAGACTGTCC